AGGTTGGCTCCACTTCAATTTGAAGTAATGGATTTGCTTCCAAGCTTTAAACAAAGAAAAATAAATGGGACCCTTAGGTGAAAAGGTTGGTCCAGGTATTGAGTTTAGCCAGATATGAAGAATCCCAAAAAGAGAAGTTCTCACCACCAAACCTTCATCTTGCATTTCATTTGAACACTTGTATCTGAAATAATCCATAACCTCGCCATAAAGAAGCAATGTGCAAGGACATTGTTTTAAATAGATGTTCTGGGCTGCTCAGGGCTCATTTTCCTTGATTGCTTCGGTTTCCACTAATCTAGCAGCTTCCTTATAAATTGGCCTAAATGCCACGAGTAGAAGAATCCTTAGAGCTCCAGGTGTTCACTAGGAAAGATCAGATCTCTCTAAAGTTCACTCAGATTCAGAATCTTTTGGAACAATCTTAGTGTTCGTTTGTCTCCTCACTCATTCATTCATTCATTTGACTAGAGTTGTGTGCCAGGAACAGTGCTAGGCCCTCAGAGGGATACAGAATTGAAATTGGCATGGCTCCTGACTTAAAGGAATATTTTACTACTGAAGGGACCAAAGCAAGTAGGTAGATATTGTGCAGAGAGGCTAAAAGTGCCAAGGGCCAAAATTTAAGTATAAATTGAATAGATGGAGCATGGTAGAAATCCCAAGGAGAGAGAATTACTGGATGTATTTGAAGTTCATAGTGTTAGAGCTGAACCTTGCCAGTCACACGGAATCAGGATGCAAGGAATGAAAAGAAGACTGGACTGGACTGGAAGACACAGGTGTGTGTGTGTGTGTGTGTGTGTGTGTGCGCGTGTGTGTGATGCATTCACAAGCAGAGCTGCAGTCGAGTCCTAAGTATGTGAACATGCTGGTATGGGTGCTGTGGGGGGCGGGCATGATGTGTTTGTGTGTGTGTGTGAGGACTGTGTGGATGTTATCGGATATGCTTTTTGTCGGGTCTGTCTTGTGTGCTTGTGAGTTGGGTCTACCCACTGGGGAGGTTGTGGGACATGCTATATGTATGCCAATGGTATAATTTGGGTATGTACTGTGGGTGTGAGGGGACTGTCCTATGTATGAAATGTGATTGGGATGCTGGGCACAGCATGCATTAGAGGTGTGTGTTGGGCGTATGTTTTGAGACTTGAGGATGTGTACATGTTTATGGAGTGCAGCAGGGGGACAGTAGTGGGGCTGCTGAGTGCACAGAAGGGCTGGAGCAGGTAAAAAAAAAGGAATCACAATGAATACCATGTCCCCTTCCTATTTTCCAGTGGAAGCTGAGCAGATTCCCCCTACCCACCTCCTCATTTTATGGAAGGAGTCCCCTATCCTGACCTCCAGACCCAAGGAAGCTGCTGACCCTGCAGACAGAGTCAATCCACTTGCAGGGAGTCTGAAAACGGCAAGAACTAAAAGCAGGGGAAAGAAGGATTGGTCACAAAGTGGCATTTGTCATCGTATTAACCAATTATTTACAGTACAGCCTGGGAAGGTGGGATAAAACCACATGGTTTTATGCTAGGATATGCTAGGAACTTGAAGCCCCAGGGGAGATTTAGGCAGGACAATGCAGCCCAAGTCCCTCCTCACACCCAACAACAAAAAGGGCAGCTCTCCTCTCTGCATCAAGGCGTGATCCAGCAGCCGGGCTATTCAATTACTTCCCTTCTGCAAAGTTAGTTCCCATCGCTCCACGCACACTTGGGCAGATCACAGGCAGCTATTGACTCTGTTTTTCATTGGCACTCGCCAACTGTCAGTTAATAACCTGGAGTTTGTCTCGCACAAGTTGTGGAATTGGTTTATGTTCAACAGAGAAATGGTCTGGAGCTAGATGTCAGCACAATATCCCCCAGCAAGCTGCTGCTCCTTTGATTTTAGAGATGTACCACTTAGATCTTTAACAAAGTCTGTAACACAGGTCAGAAAGGATGGAACCATGATGGGAGCCAGAAGAAAAACGAAGTAGGCAAAAATGTGAGTTGGGAAACTGGTGAAATCCTAGCATGCCCCAGACTTTGGTCACAACCAAAGAAGTTAAGGAAGGTGACTTCATTTTGGCTGCACAAAGTGAAGTGGACCACCTGGGAAGAAGGTCTACATCCTAAGGATACTATACACAAAGATGTTCATGGCAGTGAAAATCCTAGCATGCCCCAGACTTTGGTCACAACCAAAGAAGTTAAGGAAGGTGATTTCATTTTGACTGCACAAAGTGAAGTAGACCACCTGGGAAGAAGGTCTACATCCTAAGGATACTATACACAAAGATGTTCATGGCAGTGTTGTTTACAACTGTGAAATATGAAATTTCCTTAATCATTTCCCTATAGCTGAATCTTAAACAGTGTAAAGAAATTATTCTACATCAATATGACATTTTACAGCCATTAAAAACAACATCTATGAGGAATCTGGAATAATATGAAAAATGCAATGTTACAGCATTAAAGATGATACAGCAGGATGACAGTAACTGCATATATTGTGGATCACAATTATGTAAATACGAATAGTGACCCCAGTGGTGGGATTATGAGTGATTATTTTCCCTTTCCTTTTTTAAAGAATAGTCCAAAATTTCCAAAATTAGCTTATATTATTTTTGCAATGATATAAGCCAGAGGTCAGCAATCTTTTTCTGCCAAGGGCCAGATAGTAAATATTTTTGGCTTTTTGGGCCATACAGTTTCTATTACAACCACTTTGTTGCTGTAATGAGAAAGCAGCCACGAGCAATACATTGTAAACAAATGGGCATGTTTGTGTTCCAATAAAATTTTATTTATAAAAACAGGATGCAGGTTGGATTTGTTCCACAGACTATACTTTGCTGATAGCTGGTATAAACCTAAATTATACTTTTCCAAAGGGGGACAGTGACATAGAGTGATTGTCCTTTCATTCTAGCTATTGCCTGGGGAAAACGATCTTTCTAATCATAGGAAGGGTCTAGGGGTCTAAGGAAATGGCCCCTGAAAATCACACTTGACAGACAGGACCAGAAGCACAAGGCAGAGCTGGCTCACGGGGCCAGCAAAGCCTCTCTCAGCGTCTGTCTCTCAGCCTGGGCTGTCTGTCACACTCCGTCTCTTTGTCTGAGTCATTCCCTATGTCTCTGTGGCTCCCTCGAACTTACCCTTCTGCCCCCAAGCCCATCAATTCCAGGAAGAGGAAGAAAGAAGATAGGGAACATGAGCAGAAGAAGGGCCAGGGCTCAAAAGCCCAGGGCTGGGGAAGGCAGTCTTCATTCTACTTACATTGGATTCGAGGTCACTGGATGCAGGATGACCTGGGGTGCCCGGGTCGGCGTCTCTGGCACCGGCACCACATCTGAGAGCCAGAGATTGGACAGTCAGAAACCAACCATGGAGTCCACAACCATGCCCAAGGCCTTATTCCTGGGAGACAGGGCACCTAATAACTTTTCACCAGATCCCTGGTGGGGTGTGGGGGTGGCCAACCCCCTTTCTTCCTTCTTGCACCACCTGGACTTTACCTATGCAGATGGACCAGTGTTCTAGATGACATCCTGTACAGAATTCCCCATTGTTGACTATGGGGGCTTCCAGAGCCCCAAACACCCATCCTGAAGCATCCATTGATCATTCCTGAATGCTTCTCACTCCAAAATTCCCTCTGAGATCATGAGGACACTTGGTTTCCCATCTTCTCAGTACCCAATGCAGGCCCCTCTGACTATCTGTCCCCTCCCACATGGCTCCGGAGCCCTCCTCACCCCTGCGCATCCTTGACCACGCTCTCAGGCTTTTCCATTATGTCCTTGGGACCTCCCACCCTCACCTCCTCTACTTCCATGTCCAGCCATTATCCTGGAGGGTGGTGCCCCCACCACCACCTTCTTTGATCCCATACACCCCAACGACATTCACCTGCAGCCATTCCAGCAACCCCCACACCTCAGCAGGGCTTGTTCAGAAGGGGCTGCTTCTGGCTCATGCAAAACTCACCTGGGAAGATGAACTGCTGCTTGTATTTGTAGTAGTGGGATGCTTGCAAGAGAAAGAAAACACCAGCATGAGTGTCACCCAGGAGCTTTCCCTTCAAGTACCAAATTGGGCTCCCGTGGCCACCATGTGGCCATTGTCTGCCCACTCTTGAGATTTCCTATACTTCTACAGACACCCCGAACTGCAAGGGACTGAGAACATGGGCAAGGGGACCAGAGCTCCAAATTCCCAAGCCAACCCTCCCATTTGACACCTCATACTCCCTAAAATCAGACTGGGAGAGTCATTCTGAGTACAACACCATTTTTGTTAAGTGCATAATTACACACATGCAGAGAAAAAGTCTGCAAAGCTATAATCCAAGATATTCATTTTTTTCCCTTTTGGCAGAGTAATGATAGTGGGTTTTTTTTTTTTTTTTAAATCCGTTATGCTTTTCCTGTGTTTTCCAAATTTTCTTCATTGAGCATTGTATTAGTTTTCTTTTTTGCTGCTATAATGAATTACTACAAACTTGGTGGCTTAAAACAAATCCGTTATGCTTTTCCTGTGTTTTCCAAATTTTCTTCATTGAACATTGTATTAGTTTTCTTTTTTGCTGCTATAATGAATTACTACAAACTTGGTGGCTTAAAACAACACGGATTTATCCTCTTACAGTTCTGAAGGTCAAAAGTCTGAAATAACTCCTATAGTGCTAAAATCAAGGTGTCAGCAGGGCTGGTTCCTTCTGGGGGCTCCCGGGGAGTATCTGTTCCTCACCTTTCCCAGCTGTTTGAGGCAGCCTGCACTCCTTGGCTCACTGTCCCATCTCCCCAATGTCTACTTCTGCTCTGATATTGTCTTCCACTGCGTTTGACCTTGCCTCCCTCTTACAAGGGCTCTTGTGATTACACTCAGGGCCCACCTGGATAAGCCAAGATAATCTTCCCACCTCAAGATCCATAACTTAATCACATCTGCAAATTTCCTTTTGTCACATAAAGTTGCATATTAACAGATTCCAGGATTAGGACATGGACATCTATTGGGGCAGGGAGGGGCAGTAGTCATTATCTGCCTAACACAAACATGAATTAACTTCTGTATTTATGGAAAAGATATATAAAAGAAATTGGACTTCACTGCTGATTCTCTGACAATTCATTTTATTTCCAGTTCACTCACTAGAGGCCAGAGGTCTCAAACACTTCAGAGGTTTCAGGATCCAAGCCAGACATCAGGGTGAAACAAGTGGACTGTGATACTCCCGGCCACAATGACAAAACACCAAAGGAAAGATAACAGAAATATGAAAAATCAAGAAAGTACATTGCAACCAAAGGAAATCAATAACTTTCAAGCACTAGATCCGATAGAACAGGAAGTCTCTGAAATGACAAACAAGGAATTTAGAGTAACTATTCTAAGGAAACTAAATGAGATACAAGAAAACTCAGTTACACAACACAGTGAAATGAGAAAAAATATACAGGATCTGAAAGAAGAAATGTACAAAGAAATCAATGCCCTGAAAAAGAATGTAGCTGAGCTTGTGGAGCAGAAGGATTCATTCAATGAAATAAAAAACATGACAGAGAGTTTAACCAGCAGACTTGAATAAGCAGAAGAGAGAATTTCTGACCTCGAAGACAGGCTATTTGAATTATCACAGACAGACCAGAAAAAAGAAAAAAGAATCAAAATTTGAAGAAAATCTAAGAGAGACAACTGACAACCTTAAGCACTCAAATATCTGAATCATAGGTATTCCAGAAGGGGAGGAAAAAGGAAATGGCATTGAAAACATATTCAATGATATGCCAGCAGAAAACTTCCCAGGTATAGGGAAAGTCACAGATCTCCAGATTCAGGAAGCCCGAAGATCCCCAAACACATTCAACCCAAAAAGGTCCTCTCCAAGACATGTGATAATAAAACTGACAAAAATCAAAGACAAAGAGAGAATCTTAAAAGCTGAAAGAGAAAAGCAGCAAGTCACCTATAAGGGAGCCCCAATCAGAATAACATCAGACTTTTCACCGGAAACTCTAAAAGCCAGAAAATAATGGGATGATATATTAAAAACACTAAGGGACAAAAATTACCAGCCAAAAATACTTTACTCAGCAAGGCTATCCTTCCGAAATGAAGGACAAATAGTATATTTCTCAGACAAACAAAAACT